TGATGGAAGGGGAGGGGGTTAGAAATTGAGACATGGAATCTCTCCATCTCTACCTCATTCTCTCTGCTATGGCCACAGTAGCCAACCATGTCTCAGGAGACTTTCACTGCCTCAGGGCCTTTGCACTTGCCATTCCCTCTTTATAAGACATTCTTTCTCCAGATTTCCTCTGGATTGCTTCTTTCTTGGTTTTGCTTTTTCCAGATTTATTTATTTTAGAGAAAGAAAGAGTGCCTGCGAGTGGAGAGAGGGGCAGAGGGACAGTCTCAAGCAGAGACTGAGTGCAGAGCCCTACGTGGGGCTCAACTTAGGGCCTGATGCAGGGCTCAATCCTGTGACCTGTGAGATAGTGCCTGCAAATTATGAGTTGGCTGCTTAACCAATTGAACCACCTAAGCACCCCTGGTTCTTTCTTGTTGTTCAGGTCTCTTTTTGGTCTCCTCCTTCAAGAGGCCTTCCCTGCCAATGTAGGGTCACTCCTGTCTCTCTACCACATCATCCAGTTTTACTTCCTTCATAGATCTGGTCATGATCTAAAATTGCCTTCTGTATCTATTTGTTTAGTGGTATCCAGTCTGTCTCTCCCCCATATTATGTAAACTTCATGAGAGCAGTTATTGTATCTGAATTATGCACCTTCTAGAATCTTCCATGGCATGAGTAGGTGCTGAATGTCCTATCCAGGCTCTCCCCTACCACCCCAAGCTGAACTCGGCCTCAGACCGCCACCCCAGGCCAGTCTGGGGTGGCAGAAGGCAGTGGGCATCCAGTCCGGGCTTACTCTGTAGTCCCCCATCCCTGCTCTGCTCTCTGCAGCGTCCAGTTTCTGCCCACTGGCTGCCCCTGGCTCATCCCTTCTCCTCTCTCTGCCTCCTTCATAGAGTTTGCCACAGGAGTTTTACCCTAGCTCCTCTATTCCCGGGTATCTACTTTAGACCACCTCAACATGTCCCCAGGCACCGCTTTCTAGAACACTTTTCTCAGAGCAATATCTCTCTCCCTTTCCTGTCCCCCGCCCCCAGAAGGAATCACAGTTCCTGCCATCAAAAAGCCCCTTCTGAGGCACAACTTCAACTCAGACCTCTGGGCCCTCACTGTGAGTAAAAGTATTTTCCCACCTCCCATGGCTGTACTGCATGGACACACAGGCCTAGAGTCCACTTTGGGCTCTCCCTACAACCCCCCCCTTGACTTCACCCCTGGCCAGCTCCCCTCTATCTCCTGCCTCCCTCTTAAACCATCAAACTCTTGCAAAGAGCTGTCTACACATGCTGTCTCCACGTCCTCACCTTCTGCTCACTCCTGAACCCACTCCAGACTGGCTCCTATTCTCACCAATTCATTCATTCATTCATTCATTCATTCATTCATTGAACAACTAACTGTCTGAGCTGGGCACCACATCCTGTAGGTGTTAAGGAAGTTTCTATTGCCTGGAGCCACCAGCACCCTCGCTGTTGCTCAATCTAATGGACATTTGTTTTAAAATTATGCATTCTTTTCAATCTATGTATGAACTTCTCAGAATGCATCTTATGCACTCTCAGCAGAAAGGAACAGAAGACTCCCCTTCCTCCAGGACGTGCTCTCTCCTTGTTTTCTGTGACATCTCCCACTCCTGGCTTGCCTCTCACCTCTCTAACTGCTCCTTCTCAGCCTCCTTTGCAGACTTTTCTGGCCTTGTGTGTTGGGGAATGCCTCAGGGCTCTGGACTCAACTCTGTTGTCTCTGCACCCTCTACTCCACATTAAGATCACCTGGGTGCTTTCAAAATTTCTGATGCCCAAGAGTCCAATGAATTAGAACCTAAGGGGGTGGTGCCTGGGCATAGTTTTTTTTTTTTTTTTTAATTTTTAAAAGCTTTTCAGGTGATGCTAATGTGGCCAGGGTTGAGGGCCACTGATCTGCATTCTTGCTGGACAACCTAATTCACTGCCATGGCTCCCATGGCCAGCTTCTGCAGACAATTTCAAGTTTCTACCTCCAGCCCTGGTCTCCTGCCTGAACACTGGACCCTCTCCTCCAACTCTCTGCTGGATGCTGACATATCTCTCTGGAAGTACTAGGTTCCAGTCAGAACCCCGAAACATCCATCACTTCTCCTTTGTTCCTTATCAAGCCTGCCAACCTCAACTTCACTCTCACAGTGTGGTGCACTGGTGAGGAATCTCACTTAATGAGCAGTCAAAGTGAGGGCTGGGAGAAGCGCCCCTGAACAGAGAAGAAAGTTGGGATGCCACAGATCCTACCACCTGTGGTAGCCTGACCATTCCTCTCCCTCAACTAAAGGACTTCTGACGGCACTCCTGGTCTGCGCTGACACGATAGTACAGCCTACAGTGGATGTATCGACACCTGGGCTCAAACCCAAGGCCCACTACTTAGTAGATGTGTGACAGTGAGCAAGTGATTTAACTGTTCTGGGCCTTCAGTTTCGCCACCTGCAGTACTGTCATTATATGGCCTCTGCCTCCGGGATTGATGCAAGGATTCATGAGATGACCCTTATAAAGTGATTAGTGCCATGCCTGGCTGGCAGAAAGCACTCAGTGAATGTTAGCTATTTTTAGTACCATTACTGAGGATAAATTCCCAATTCCTGAGTAGAGCTCACAAGGGCCCCCGTGACTGTGACCTTGGCTTTTGCTTCCGTCTGCTCTTCCCTCTCTCACACCATGAGACCCAACGGGTCGCTGAACTAACAACTGCGTTCTTTCACAAATCTGCGCTGTACATGCGGGTCCTGATGGCCAGACTGCAACATCTCCATCTAGAAAACTCCTATTCATCCTTCAAAACCCATGTAGAAGGTTCTTTTTGTTACATAGATACTCTTGACTCTTCTGGCTGAAGGTAATCATTCCTCTTTCAGGTGGGCTATGGGGCCACACTTCTTATCATGCACATCTTTCCAATAACCTTCCCAAGTATCAGTGGGAACTAGCCTCCTGTGAACAGAACAGAGACTGCCATTGATCAGACACTGTTCCAGGATGTTCCCAAGACTCCCTCCTAGGATGGCTGAGGCACCAGCCTCCTCTGTTCCATAATTCCCAGCTGTCTCTGGTGCTTCCCACCACTCCTCCGAGCTCAGTCTTCATGCTGAGTGAGTCAATCCTGGAAGTTTTCCAGAGGTGCTTTGATCACCACACTGAGATGGGTCAAGCACCCCAGGGCCACAGCAGCTGCCCAGGCCACATGGGGCCGAACACTGGTTCTTGGCACCCGAGAGCCCATTCCCTTTCTGCTCAGATCCTCTTTGGTCAGGCCTGGTCATTTTGGCCCCTAGGAGGTAGTTCTCAAGGAATCTTTGCCCTGAGTGGTGCGCCAAACCTACTGACTCTCTAGATGACCTTGGGTAAGTCCTTGACCCACTCTCAGCCTCGGTTTCCTCCCATACAACGTGGCAGTGATGACAGGATTACATTAAAAGTTCAGTGGGTCCCATTTCAGCACAGGGCTGGACACTCTAGCATAAAATCTGTGTTCCACAGTCTCGCTGTCCCTTGACCCTCCCCTCCCGATGCCCCTGTGACTGCAGCATGGTTTGAGCTATCAGCCTGTGCCACCTTCATTCCGCCTTCCAGCTCCATTACCACCCACTCACGTGCACCTGCCCAATTCCAACTGGGAGGAGTTGAGGGCAAGAAGATGGGAGTTGAGGACAGCACCAAGGGCCTGGGCTTCCAGTGGTCTGGGCCTCTGCTACCTGGGATCTCCTCCAGATCCTGAGGGGTTTGGTGGGAATCGGGGAGACGGCTGAGGTGGTGCCGCATGATGGGGGTCATATCGTGTGTCTGCCTCCAACCCGCTGTCCAGGCTCACAGAGGGAGGAAGGTGACCAGGGTGTCAGCAGGAGGTGGGGAGACAGGTGGGGGGATGAAATGCCAGCCCAGAACCCTAAGAGGAGACTCACTCTGCCCTCCTGGGACTGGTCTCAAGGCTCTAAGGAGAGGAGACTGACTCGTGCCCCAGTCTCAGCCATGGCTTCCTGATTCATCCATGCGCTGGCCTCCAACAGGTGTTTGCAAGGCGAGCCTCTGGCCAGGCCTCGGCCCCTGCATTCCCCCCCCCCCCACTGCCACTCCCCACCCCTCCAGCCTCCACAAGGCTAGGCACCGCGGCTTCCTCCCGGGGCCACCAAAGACGATCAAATAACACAGCGGATGAAAGCCACCTCCCTCCCTCCAGTCAGGGCGAGTGGATCTGCCCGGGTCAGAGCGATCTCGAGGGCGGCAGAGAACTCTCCCTAATCCCAGCACACAGAGACCTCCCTTGTTGGGAGCACAAGGAATCTCTCCTCCTTCACGGCGCACAGAGACCGAGGCGGCCCGTAAGGGCGTCAGAGGGCACAGAGATCTCTTCGTGGTCGGAGAGCGCAGAGATAAGCCACGCCTATCAGATCTGGGCCCCCTCCGGGCGCAGGGATCCTTCCCAGGTCGGGACGGGCAGAGGGCTTGTCCCAGGGAGGACACCCCTACAGGACCGCTCCGTGGGGCTCAGCGAAGGGGAGACGGCCCCTCCCCCATTCCCAGCCCCGCTCGGCCGGCTCCCCCGCTCTCCGGAGCCACACTCACTGCGCGCCTGTCGCCGCTCTGACCTTGGGGTCTCCGGCCTCGGGAATCCGGGTCCCAATCCCAGACCCTCCGCGGGCCTGCGCCAGGGTCCGCCGGGAAGCCGGGGCCGCAGCTCCTCCTTCCCGGCCCTCGAAGGCGCACCGGGAAACCCGGAAGGAAAGGGATGGGGAGGGGGCGCCGCGGCCACGGACGCCCCCCCCGGGAATCCCCTGCAGCCCCGCGGCTCCGCAGCCTTTCTCCTCCCCCTCCCAGCCCCGGGGCAGCGGTGGGGGAGGGCACTGCCGGGCGCCCGCGGGGCAGGGCCGGGGGTGCGCGGGGGCTGGAGGCGCCGACCCTCGGGGAGGAAAGTTGGGCGGCGGCGGGCGGCGGGCGGCGGGGGCTCGGGCCGGGCCGGGGCTCCCGGACGCGGGGGCGCTCGCTCACCTGCTGGTCCCCCGGCCCGGGCCCCGGGATGGGCGGCTGAGGCTCGGCGCGGGCTCGGCTCGGCGCGGGGCGCGGGCGCGGGGCGCGGGGCGCGGGGCACCGGGCGCAGGCTCAGCGGCCCCGGGGGCGCGATCCCCGCATCCCACGGGCGCCGCCGCCGTCTCGGCTCAGCGGCTCCGCTCGGGCTCCGGGACTCGGCGGGCGGCGCGGGCTCGGGCTGGGGGCGGGGTCGGGGGCGGGCCCCGCCTGGGCTCGGCCTGGGGCGCGGGGCCCCGGGCTGGCTCCGCCCCAGAGCGACGCGCCCCGGACTCCGCACGTGGCGCTCCGCCCGCTGGGAGGGCGCACCCCCCGCAGCGCCCCGGGCCGCCCCGCCGCGGCCAGCCACCCACGCGGGCACGGACGGGCACACAGCCCGGCACACTCCGGGGAGTACGCACGGGCGTCGCCTCTGACCTGGGCGCCCACATCGGAGAGCCAGCCCCTGGACGCGGGCGTGCCCTGACGGGGCTCACCGGTACACGCAGGCACGCATGCCGACCAGACACTTTCCACATTCGCACACCTGCACAGCGAGGGAGACGCACTGACACGCAGACACCCACACGGACACAGGCAGACACACTCCGACACGACTCACACGCGCATCCACTGCCACGCCGCCAGAGGCACACACCGACATAGGGCCCCGTTCTGTTAGAGAGACACGCATGGCGCACGAATGTGCACAGTGGCACACACCTGCACTGACACGCGTTGGCACACACAGACCAGAAGCAAGGGCGAAACCAGCAAATACAGAGACACCCGCACTGAAATGGGACTCACACGCCCGCTCACCCACAGGCACGTTGTTGGGACACAGGCAACCTACACCTTTACACACAGACACACAAACATGCGGATACCGAGACAGGCACTGCCTCTCTCCCACACTCAGTGACCCGTACACTGACAAACCCAGGCTGACCCATAGGGAAACATGTCCGGGAACACACCTTTTATTTTATTTTTAAAAATATTTTATTTAGGGGATCCCTGGGTAGCCCAGCGGTTTAGCGCCTGCCTTTGGCCCAGGGCGCGATCCTGGAGACCCGGGATCGAATCCCACGTCGGGCTCCCGGTGCATGGGGCCTGCTTCTCCCTCTGCCTGTGTCTCTGCCTCTCTCTCAGTGTGTGTGTGTGTGTGTGTGTGTGTGTGTGGCTATCATAAATAAATAAAAATTAAAAAAATATATTTTATTTATTTATTCATGAGGAACACGGAGAAGGCAGAGACATAGGCAGAGGGAGAAACAGGCTTCTCGCAGGGAGCCCGACGTGGGACTCACTCGTTCTCAGGACTCCAAGATCACTTCCCCGGGCCAAAGGCAGACGCTCAATTGCTGAGCCACCCAGGCGTCCCAGGAACACACCTTTAAAAAACAAAACGGGCTACCAGATTTTTTTCCACAGGCCAGTAACATAATTGGAAGAGAAGGTATATGCTTTGCCCTGCACAGTGGCCACTGCTCAAAGTTGTCACCGCCACTGCCTGGAGCTGTCTTCTTTACCAACAGCATTTTACTTTTCTGACATATTTCAAAGCTCCAATATGCAAGAATTGCTCTTGGAGGGAAAAATGGGGCTGCTGCTGTCTCAGAAGGCACCCAGGTACTGGGTTTGAGAGCTCAGAGGCTGTCACCTGCCCCTCCCAGGCTGTCACTGGGACCTTGGAGAGGTCATGACGAGGCCATCGTCCTTTTGGGACCAGGTGTCACAGGGTGCCTTACATATACACTGAGGAGCTTCCCATGCTTTGAGGACAGCCAGTCCAGGATGGGGGAATCGGTTGATAAAGTTCGTCTGCAGGAAAGTTTAGGACACAGGACCCTTTCTGGCCCTGGATTGAGCAGGATGGCTGCTGGCCAGACAGATGAATCACAAACAGCATGCCGGCTTCTAGCCCCCTGACGGGCCTCAGGTTGGCCAGCATCTCCCACTAGCGGCCAGAGCGGGAAGTGCAGGCGGTGTCACCTTGGCCGCCGGGGGTGCAGGACCACCTTCCCTGCGCTCTCACCTCCTCGGTGGGAGGAGAGGGGTGTAGAATGGGGGTCCTCCCGAGGTTTTACACCACCAGATTCTGGACCCCAGAATGAAGATTCAAACTTATAAATGGACATTGGGCTAAGCAGGAGGCCAAGCTGGAACGGAGGGTGCTGGGGCCCCGGCTTCAGCTACATCCCAACAGGGGTGTGGATTTTCATGGTCTTCCTTAGCGTTGAGCAACTTGGATGTTGCCAGCGGGAGAGGTAGGCTAAGGCACCCCAGATGTAAACGAGGGGAGGGAAGACCATGAGAAGGAGGAATCAGCTCTGACCACGTGGAGATTCAGCAAACATACCTGGTGGTCTGAGAGAGGCCACAGGGGGCGGGACAGAGCTGGAAAGGGCACTGGGCTGGGAGGAGACACCTTCCACAAGGAGCCCTTGACAAACTAGGCGACTTCCTTCTCTTCCCCAGGCCCCATTTAATTGAAGCAAGACTATGCGGTCAGCAGTCTTCTAGTTCAGAGTTGAGTTGAGCACATTTTATTTGTGCATCCATTCAAGACTCTTCTCCTATATTACTTCCTTTTATTTCTTCCCTTGGCTACCATAATCGCTTCACAGTCATTCCCTGGCCCACACAGGCTCCTTCCCTAGTAGAAAAACAGACAAACAAACAAACAAACAAACAAACAGGTCTTTGAAAATGTACACCTCTTTGTAAAATATGTAATATTGTCGTTTGCACCTCTGTGTTATCTGTTTTTATCGCCCTGGGCTTTTCTTGCTCTGTTACTGCTGAATTATAACTTATGCATGGAAAAGAGCACAGACCCTAAGCGTTCAGCTCAAGGGTTGTCGCTAGCTGAAAACCTCTGTATAACCCGCACGCAGATCAAGAAACCAAGCACCACCGGCATCCATCCCTCCACAGCCTCTTCCTGTCACTCCTGCTTCTCCCCCAGGGTTAGCTACCATACTCGCTCACATTGAAGTTCCCATGTTAGTTTTGCCTAGTTCTGATATTTTTAGAAATGGAATCATTAAGTAGAAACTCTTGTATCTGGCTTCTTTTGGACTTAGGTTTGTGAGATTTATCCATATTGCTGTTTGTTCTCATTGCTTTTTAGAATTCTATTGTGTGACTATACGACAATTTTTTTGTCCATTCTAGAGCAGATGGGTGTTTGGTAGGTTCTAATGTGGGGTTCCTGCATATAGCACTGCTATGAGCACTCTAGTGTACGAATTTTGGTGAATGTAAGTATGCATTTCTGGGAGGGAGTTGATGTGAGAGAGTGTTTTCACTTTTTGTAGACACCGCCAAGGAGTTTTTCAAAGTGGTTCTACCAATATATACTCCATCAGCTGTGACTATATGAGAGTTCTGGTTTATCCTCCAGCATCCTCCAGTACTTGGTATTTTTATCTTTTTCATTTTAGCCACTTGAGTGGGTGTGCAGAGGTTTCACATTGTGGATTTAATTGGCATTTCCCTGATGACTAATGAAATTGGGCACTTTTTCATGGTTTATTGGCCATTTGTGTATATGTGCTTTTCATTTATATAAATGGGCATTGTTCTAACTTCCATTCTTTTTTCTTATGTTTCTCCCCTAACACTCTGCTTTGGAGCTCCTATATTCCTTCCTTTTATTTCCACATCGTGGTGTGGGCAGTTAGTTCTTTGCTTCTGACAGCTGCGGAGCATTCTATGTTATGCACCCACCACATTTTATTTATCCATTCCCCTAGAGAATGACGGCAGGTAAGAAAGAAGATGGTAATTGGAGGGAAGAGTGGTAAATAGCTTGTGTTTCTGTTGTGTTCACTCTGCTCATACCTGGGGTTGGGGCAGGTAAGGAAGCAAGCTGATCTGGGGCTCTGAACCCACAAACACTCAGGACTAGGCATCCTTCGGGTTGGGGCTGAAAGCAGGGGGCCTGGTGGAAAGCTCACACAAAAGCCAGGAGGATCCAGAGATGCCTCTTCTTGCCCTCTCAGCCAGAGACTGGCCCATCAGTGGCCAACTATCTCTGACTCTGGGAGGGGGCATCTTGCAAGAGTGAGGGACTTTATTGAGAGTAAGGAGACCTAGTGAGATCCCTGGTTCCCTACCTCTGCTAGGTGCTGGAACTCTGGCAAAGGACTGGGGAATTCCACAGTGAGGAAACGACCAACCTGAGGAAAAAGACCTTTGATCCTGGGCACCCAGCCACCCCCACTGTAAAGCCCACCTGTCATGGGGTTCTGCTGGTTCCACATTCATCCCCACCCTTTCTCCTTGCCTGTCTCTCCCAGGAAGGCTGTACATGCTAAGTACCTGCCTCCCTGTTTCCCCTGTACCCAGTGCCAACCACGTGACTGGACAGTGGCCATGGGTCCTGAGCAAAGTTTGACTGAGGAGGAGTGGTTTCTGGGGAAGCGTTTGCTTTCCTGATAAAAAGAGGACAGGAGCAGCAGGATGGGCTCTCTTCCCTCCTCCCTCTTGTTCCTGCCTTGAACAAGGCCACCATGCTTGGAGCTGGCAAAGCCATTGCACAGGCGCAGGGGTAAGGCCGGGAGATTTGCAGAGGTCGACCCCCAGGGACAGTCGACTGCAAGCCCACATACTTCTCTTTCACTCTGTACGTGAATCAATGAGACTGATTCTTTGAAGTCGGAGGCAGATTGTGTCTGGTGGGGAGGGACCAGGGAGCCCAGGTGCTCTTAATACAAACTGTTGTCCAGCCCTCTTGTTTGTTTAGCTGCCCCCCACCTCCCCGCTTCCAGGCTTCCAAAGGTACCCAGTGCTTGTGTCTGTGGAGAGTCCCAGAAACACGCTAAGGTTTCGAGGAGAAGGAGAACGTCTTTTGTTTTCCCTTGGAGCCCCTCCCTCTGCGAGCACCTGGAACGCAGCCTGCAGGCCCTACTAGGTCAGTTGCCTCTCCAACTTCCAAAAAGTTGTGGTCGTGGTTGCTTCCTGCTGTTACTTCCTCTTCCACACTTTTTGTTTCTGTAATATTTATGCGTTTTTAAATTACTGCGCTGCCATTTTAATGACAATTCAAGAGGTAGTGCACTCCGCTGTATTCCTGAAGACAGACCTCCGTTTTGGTTCCCATCCCAGATCAT